ATGGTTCGGAGGGGGGGTGGTCCCATGGCTTTGGGGTGGGGTGGGGTGGGGAGGTCCTCGGGATGGAGTGCATGGGTCTCACAGCTCTGGAGTCGGGTGGGGGGGATTCCAGGGGTGGGATGTGGCGGTCCCACAGCTTTGGGCTTGGGTGTGGGGGTCCCAGCTCCCCAACACTTCCCCCCCCACCAGACGCCAGCTTCCTCAGCCCGCAGCTGCAGCGGATCTTCGAGCGTGTCCGGCAAAGCGCTGACTTCATGCCGCGCTGGCAGACCACTGTGAGCAACTTTTGGGGGAGCGTGGGGCCCTGGGATTTGGGGGGGCACAAGCAGGGGAAGCAGGATCTGGGGGTGTCAGCTGAGCTCCCCCCTCATCCCACATCCCACAGCAAGTGCTGGCGGAGGAGCTGGGCCCCGGCTGGCGGGAGAAAATGTCAGCTTTTGAGGAGATGCCTTTCGCTGCCGCCTCCATCGGGCAGGTGCATCTTGGGGTGCTGCGGGACGGCACCGAAGTGGCCGTGAAGATCCAGGTGAGCCCCGGGGAGGGTGGATTTTGGGGGACTGAGGGTGCGCCAATACTTATATTCCCTACACCTCTGTTTTTCCGCAGTATCCTGGCATCGCCCGGAGCATCCGCAGCGATGTTGACAATCTCCTCTCTCTGCTCAAGATGAGCGTGGTGCTGCCGGAGGGTGAGTTGGACCCCGATTCTCCTGGGAGAGATGGGGGCGGGGGGGGGGCAGAACACCCCCAAATTCTTTGTGGGGGGGTCCTCCAAGTCCTTTTTTTCCATCTCTCCAGGCCTCTTTGCTGATAAATCCCTGGAGGTCTTGCAGAGAGAGCTGGAGTGGGAATGCGACTACCGCCGGGAAGCTGATTGTGCCCGCACCTTCAGGTAGGGTAGGGGGGCTTTGTGGGGGAGCACAGGGGGGGTTTTGGGGGCAGGGGCCCCGATGCCTGCCTCACACCGTGCCCCATCACCCAGGAAACTTTTACGGGACGACCCCTTTTTCTCTGTGCCGCGGGTCGTGGACGAGCTGACGGCGTCCCGTGTCCTTTCCATGGAGCTGGGGAGTGGCGTCCCCCTCGACCAGTGCCGGAATCTCCCCCAGGACCTGCGAGACCAGGTGAGTCAGCCCTAGATTTTTTTTTTTCTGGGAGGTGGGAAAGCCCTTTGTGCCCACCCCCCAGCTCCCCTAACCCCTCTGTCCCCTCCCCCAGATCTGCGCCAACCTCCTGCGCCTTTGCCTGCGGGAACTTTTCGAATTTCGCTTCATGCAGACGGATCCAAACTGGGCAAATTTTCTTTACGACGCTGACTGGCACAGGGTGAGCATTTGGGGGGGGGGGCGAGACGTTAAAGACCCCCAAGCCCAAAAATGAGCCCCTTACTCCCAATGGGACCCCTGAGCACCCATATCCCCCCACTGCACCTCTCCAGGTGACTCTGTTGGATTTTGGGGCGAGCCGCTCTTTCGACAAGGAGTTCACGGATCACTATATTGAGGTACGGGGTGGTGGTGGGGTGTGTGTACTCTGCGGCCTCCAGCCCCCCCCCCCAGAAATCTCCATGCTGTGCCCCTCCCTCCTTCTCCATCCCCAGGTGATCCGGGCTGCAGCCGATGGTGACCGGGCCAAGGTGCTACAGAAATCCCGAGACCTCAAATTCCTGACGGGCTTCGAAACCAAGGTGAGGGTCTCGGGGAGCAGGTGCCTCCCCCTCCCCCCAACCCACTCCCAAGAATCTTTTTGGGGGTGCCCCCTCTCTTACCCACCCAACCCCCCTATTGTAGGCATTCGAAGCGGCCCACGTGGATGCGGTGATGATCCTGGGCGAAGCCTTTTCGGGGGGGCAACCTTTTGATTTTGGGGGGCAGGGGACGGCCCGGCGGGTGCAGGCGTTGCTCCCCATTATGTTACGGTACCGCCTGACCCCCCCCCCCGAACAAACCTATTCCCTCCACCGCAAAATGGCTGGCGCCTTCCTGGCCTGCGCCCGCCTGGGGGGTCGTGTCCCCTGCCGTGACCTCTTCGAGGAACGTTACGCCCGCTACTGGGACCCCTCCCCAAATCCGGTGGACCCCCCACAAATCGGGGAGACCCCTCTCTAATCGGGGGGACCCCCTTCCCAAACCGGTAGACCCCCCCACCGTGAGGCTGCTTCCCCCCTGCCCCCCCAAATAAAGTTAATTCACCCCCAAATGGGTGCTGGGAGTGGGCGATGTGCCTCCCCTGGGGGGGTGGGGGGTTTGGGGCCTGGGAGTGGGGGTGCTCTGGGGTTGAGGGGGGGGGTTAGTTTTGGGGAGGGGGGTCCCGGTTTATGGGAGGGGGACGGCTGCTTGCGAGGGGACCACATGGAGGAGGGCAGGGACAGCAGGGAGAGCGGGGGGGGTGTGGCTGGTTTGCATATTCATGACCCCGCCAGCCAATGGCTGCGGGGCCGCGCTGGTCTCGCCCCGCGCAGCTCCGACGGGGGCGGGGGTGGTGCCTCATTTGCATATTCGTGAAGTGGGCGGGGCTATCGGTAGGGCTGGGAAAGGGAGGGCGGTGCTTCGTTTGCATATGCATGAGGAGGGCGGGGGAGCGGCGGGCGCGTGCGTGCAGCCCTCTAGCCACAGCCCGGGGGCCGAGCGGAGCCGAGCGGAGCCGAACGGAGCCGAGCGGAGCCGAACGCGTTCGGCGCAGCCGAAGGGGGCCGAGCCCCGGGCGCGGCGGCGGGTAAGGCGGCGCCCCCGGGG